AATCGATTGTTCTTTCTCAAATCGCCACGCGTGATAATGGGCTCGAATCTCCCAAGCTACGGCCCATCAATGTCGCAGAAATTTTGCTACTCTCAGAGACCAACATTGAGCGAATTCAAAATAAAACGGAACAAAGCTTGTCTCATTCACATCGCGCCATTTCCAGAAACAGACGCAGAGAGAGACGTAGTCGTGTTTCTTCTGCAATTCGGCTCTTGCTCAAGGTAATGGTGAAGTCTAGGTCTGTTCTTTTCTGCCATTGGATTGAGGAACTTCTTGTCTCTTTAGAGGAATCGGAACTGTTGAGGATTTTGTTTTTAGATGTAATTTCGATTCGTCCTCTTTTCGATTTTCAGATTGTTTCTCTTATACATAAGCAGATTTGTTCGTCATGGAGGGATTGGTTGAAGAAGAGGAGGAGGTAACTAACTATAACATGGATTCCTCTTCTTCCCTCTCTAATCACACTCAATCTTACTCGTTTTTGGTTTGAGAAGATAATCTTGAGTTTTGATCGATTTAGATATCTTTTTAAAATAAACAGAACATCAATGATGACTTAGATTCGTTCCTGGTTGGATTGGTTGAAGAAGAGGAGGTAAACTATACTTGGATTCATCTTCTTCGAATCTATATTTACATTGAATCTTACTGGTTTTTGGTTTTGAAAAGAATAATCGGTTTGATCGATTTAGATATGCTTTCTTTTCAAAACAGGACATCAACGAGGAAGAAGATGATTTAGAATTGTTTCTGATGAGCATTATGGCTTTCACTATACATCGATTCCTCCTCTAAATTCATGTTTACACTGATTTTTTTGTTTTGAAAAGAATAATCATATGCCGTTTGATTGATTTAGATATGTTTTCTTTTAAACAGAACATCAATGAGGAAGAAGAGGATTTGGATTTGTTCCTGATGTGCATTACGCTGGGATTGGATGAAGAAGAGGAGGTACTATACATTGATTCCTCTTCTTCCTTTTCTACACATTGATGTTCTGTTTTTTTTTTGGGGGTTTGACAAGTATAATGGTGCATTTTGATGATTTAGATTTTTTTTTTTTTTCTTTGAACATAACATCAATTCTTAACATATCAACAACCTGGCAAATGAACCTGGAAATGTGGTTGTGAGTTGTATTCTTGTTTTAAAATATAGTAAGTCATTATCACATCAATTGCTCTTCTTACGTCTCTTACTCAAAGCTAGTCAAACTGAGGAGTTGAAATCGGTGATTGCTTCGTAATGAACAATACATGTGTAGGAACATATTGGATCAATTGTCCGTGCAGCTACTGGTTTTGTCATTAGAGGAGGCCAAGGTGAAGAACTGAACATTTAGTGATTGGTTTGGTGGTTTAAGCAAAGAGGTACTACTAAATGTTTTCTTTGGAATTGTAGCTATTTCTAATGCCATTTGGGAGCACAGAGAGAAAGTAGTCGTGGCTGCTGCTTTGGTGGGAGTGGGAACTGTTTCAAGAATCGACCTAGCGTGGAGAAGCTATAATTACTACAGATACAACATCTTTCAAAGAAGGTAAATGAAAATATAGAAAACCACAACTTATATATACGGTTTAATGAGACATCATCACTATGAAGCTTTTTGCAGTACACGTAATTACTTTAGTACTTTTAATCTTTACTTAAAAACCATCATAACACACACTATTAATAAACTGAAATAATCACATCGGATATGAAATGATGAATGGGAAGTTCTTAAAACATGATTATGGGTGGTAAATAAAAATGAATATAAGAGATTTTTAATATTATAAATTTTTTATATTTACCTAAACCATTTTTAGGTTTCTAAATATAGAATCTATATTACCCATTTTTAGTGGGTAAATATAACA